GGAGAAAAATGAAACCCGCAACAGGCATGAGTCACCACACCCCGGCTAATTTTTGTATTTTTAGTAGAGACGGGGTTTTGCCACGTTGGCCAGGCTGGTCTCGAATTCCTGACCTCAGATGATCCGCCCGCCTCGGCCTCCAAAAATGTTGGGATTACAGGCGTGAGCCACCGCGCCCCGCCAAGGCTCATCTTTAAGCCCTTAAAACACATTACCTCGTGGTATTATCACCCTCATTCAACAGATGAAGAAAGCTAGTTTCAAGGAAGTTAACTGAGGATCAGAGATGTTAAATGATTTGCCTGAAGTTAGAGAACTAATAAGTGACAAACCGAGTCCTGCTGCGTTTTACTAACAAGCCATTCAGCTGCCCAGGAAGATGTCGAAAATTGTAGTAAAGGAAAGGGGGCAGCCAGAGCCAGAGCTGGGGCGTACCCCGCCTGGCTCGCTTCCAGTCGTGATGCCTACAGCCGTGCCCTCTAGGTTTCAGACCTTCCATTGGTCGTCCGTCACAGTGCGCCATGCTCACACGAGGGCCAGGAGCCAATCAGCGCGGCTCGTCTCCGCCCAGCCAGGCCACGCCAGGATGGCGTTATCTGTCCCTCCCGCGGCACGCTGGGAGTTGTAGTCTAATTATATATTTCTGCCAATAGTGTGGGGACAGAGAGAACTACTCGACCCATAAAGCCGAGCGCGGAGTGGAGTCTGCTTTTAGGAGTACCCGCCAACTAGCGGGACCGAGCAGGAACCAGCATCCAGGAACAGGTGAGAGAGGTCGTGTGCTGGGCCTTGGAGGAAGGGAGCCGAGACCGTGCTTTGCTTCTGTAACGATACTGTGAGGCACGGGAAGCTCAGCCTGTTGTGTCAAGAGTTTCTCCGTTTTGAGGGTCGGTGGGCTAGACTGGCTGGCCTTCTGGGCTTGCAGATACTTCCAAACTCTGCCTTTGTGCTTTCTGAAACCCCCAATATGCCCGGACCCCGATATACTCCTTTGCTGCGAATGCTTCTCTCCCATTCAGAGTTGCTCCGAGCCTATCTGCACAGTCCTAGCGCTTCCTGTGAGGCTCGGGACGCGTGGTTCCAGCACCCCAGACCATATGGACGCAGCACCCATGGGTTCCGGCCCCAATGCTTCTCCCCATCTTGGGACGTAGCGCAGACCCTGGGCACCCTTCTCCATCTCCCAGGGGAGACCTGGGTTCTAGATTTGGCTCTGCCTCTACTACCTTTCTACCTTCTAGAGCCTCAGGTTGACTTGTGTAAAATAGGATGACTTAAGGGTCCTTTCAGCCCCTACTCCTGGGGTACTTTACTGTGTACCACGTCCTTACCCAGCCTTGTGGACGCCGTCTTGAAGGCATTGAGTTCTAGCCTGTTTATAAGTGGCAATTAGTTGGGTCTCAGTCACCCAGCCCTACTTTTTGTTTCCTGCATATCCTTCCTCTAATTGTCCCGAAGCACATTCCACAAGAGGGAGGGCACTCTGGGCCAAGGCTGGGGTGGGAGTGATCTGGGGAGCTGCCACCATGCCTCTGCCTTTGGTGCTTGCCCCTGCAGGGCGTGCTTGGTTTCCCCCTCCCTATGCCACTCCCACGATGCCCTTGTCCCGCTGGTTGAGATCTGTGGGGGTCTTCCTGCTGCCAGCCCCCTACTGGGCACCCCGGGAGAGGTTGCTGGGTTCCCTACGGCGGCCCTCCCTGGTGCTCGGGTACCCAGTCCTGGCCTGGCACAGTGCCCGCTGCTGGTGCCAAGCGTGGACAGAGGAGCCTCGGTGAGTGTGGTTGGGGTGAGGGGCTTTGGGGAGGGGAGCAGCTGGTCAGGTTTCTGACTTGTTTTTCTTCTCCTCAGAGCCCTTTGCTCCTCCCTCAGAATGAATGGAGACCAGAAATCAGATGTTTATGTCCAAGAAAAGCAGCATTTCGTTCAGCACTTCTCCCAGATCGTTAGGGTGCTGACTGAGGATGAGATGGGGCACCCAGAGACAGGAGATGCTACTGCCCGGCTCAAGGAGGTCCTGGAGTACAACGTCATTGGAGGCAAGTATCACCGGGGTTTGACGGTGCTGGTAGCATTCCGGGAGCTGGTGGAGCCAAGGAAACAGGATGCTGATAGTCTCCAGCGGGCCCTGACTGTGGGCTGGTGTGTGGAACTGGTGAGAGGCGTCGGGGAAGGGAGACGTTTCCTGCGACTTGGGTGGGGGATGGGTAGGAGGGACCTGAAACTTGTCTCTGGTTTCTGTTTGTCTCTAGTGTGCTATGGCCACATTTAGAGTGAATCACTGCATGGGTTAACTAATGTGGGGAGACTCTTGCCATTAGGTACAATGGTGGCTGTGGATAGATGTGGATAGGGTGGACTGGGGCCTCGGAACTGGGCAGAGTGGTGTCAGCTCTTTGCTTTGAGCAGAGGACAGCCATAAAAATGACAGGTCTTCCAAAGGCTGTTCTGAAGCACAGATTGAAAACTGGCAGCTCACTGATAGTTTTTGAAAATGTTTTAAAATTAAGTCTCCTAAATTTAACAAAGAGATTTTACACTGAAACCTAGATTTCTAGCATGACTTGGAAAATTGTAAGGCCTGGGTCCACGTTCCTGCATAGCAACAGTTGGCTGAAGCTGAGTGGATGCAACTTCCCCAAGACCCAGGGCATGTGCTCTCCTGTGTGCTTTCTCTGATTTGCTCCCACCCCCACATCCGCTTGTCTTCTATGCCAGCTCATCTTGCTCTTGAAGTTGTATAATTTGCTTGCATGGCCTAAAGCTTTCATTAGTGACAGGGGGACTGGGTTCTGGGAGGGGTGCCATACCTGAGGAGGGTGGCAGTGAGCACGAAAGGGAAGAGCATTCAGAACTTTGTGAGTGACAGTGTTGCTGAGTTCCTGTCCTGAGAGGAGCAGCTGGCTCAAGGGAAGACGTGCTGAGCACAGTCAGCCTGGGCACGTTCTTGGTATGGGTGGAGTAGGTCCTGCCTGTCCTATGGGTGGTGGAAATTCCAGTCTGGAACTTGTCAGGGAGATGGTTCTGAAGAATAGGGATTTGCTTCCAAGAACATAATAGGACCATGGCATCCAGGGAGAGGGCAGCATTTGGGAGGCTGAGGTGGGTGGATCACCTGAGGTTGAGAGTTCGAGACCAGCCTGACCAACGTGGAGAAACCTCATCTCTACTAAAAATACAAAATTAGCCGGGCATGGTGGCCCATGCCTATAATCCCAGGTACTTGAGAGGCTGAGGCAGGAGAATCGCTTGAACCCTGGAGGCAGAAGTTGTGGTGACCCGAGATCATGCCATTGTACTCCACCTGGGCAACAAGAGCGAAACAACTCCATCTCAAAAAAAAAAATTCTTTTTTTTTTGATATGGAGGTCTCACTCTGTCACCCAGCCTGGAATGCAGTGGCATGATCGTGGTTCACTGCAATCTCTGCCTCTGGAGCTGAAGCAATCCTCCCACCTCAGCCTCCCAAGTAGCTGAGACTATAGGTGTGTGCCTCTACCCAGCTAATTTTTTTTTTTTTTTAGAGACTAGGTTTTGCCATGTTGCCAAGGCTAATCTTGAACTCGTGGCATCAAGTAATCCGCTCATCTTGGCCTCCCAACATGCTGGGATTATAGGCCTGACCCACCGCGCCTGGTCTAAGGTTTTTTTTCCGAGACAGAGCCTCACTCTGTTGCTCAGGCTGGACTGCAGTGGTGCTATCATGGCATACTGTGGCCTCAACCTCCTGGGCTCAAGCCATCCTTCCATCTCAGCCTCCCAAGCAGCTGGGACTACAGGTCCCTGCCACCACACCTAGCTTTTTAAAAGTTTTTTTTTTTTTTTTTTTT